AGCCCAAGGCCCTACAGTCCCATTTCCCTGTTTTTATTTTATTTTATATTATTTAAACAAACAAAAAAACTACTATTTTATTACCTATTGCCAGGGAGGGGCTCCAAAGGTGGAGATGCAAAAGGTAATTACTGTTCATTAATGGTAGTTACTATTCATTAAAGGGAGTTACTGTTCAATATGGTGGATTCAATAGTGGATTGCCGGGGGGATGGCTCCAAGGGTGGAGTTGCTCTAAAAAATGACCATGTGTACAAATTCATTTTACATCAATTTGAACAATTAAATTAGTTGTTACTAAAATAATGCTAGTATAGGGGAATACTTTAACGTGATAAAAAAATAACATTGAATTACGTGGAACGCTAAAATGGTCATAATTTGCAACAACACACAAGTACAGATATATTACTATTAAATGAATAGTTTAGGGATCAAAGTGAAAACCCTAGCTAGAAAAGAATATAGGACCAAATTAATGTCGCTTGTTCGTGGGGCCAAATTTATGTATGCAGTTCGAAATTTTTTTTGAGATTTCACTGTAAATATAATTGGTTATATACATAGTACTTTAATTACTTAGAAGCACATATAAGATCTCTCTTTTTTTTCGATATGAGATTGATACTCTCAGCACATCTCCTCATGTGTGGCAAATTTTCCAATCTAGAATGCGAACAACACAAATCAGGTGACATTGAGCATATGTGACCGTTGGACTTCACACGCAGAATAACCTGCTCTGATACCATAAAAAAAGTTGAGATTTCATCGTAAAGCTAATTGGTAATATACAAAGTAATCTAATTTACTTAGAAGCACATAAAAAATCTCTATTTCTATCAATACGAAATTTATTTTCAATACACTTCAATTCAATTTGAAGGAGGGTTTCCATGAATGCGGTTACTTTGAATTGTTGGAAATCGGTTTTTCATTTACTGAGTTTCATTATTGGAGTGGCGTGTCATTGTCTTTTCACGTTGTTTGTGTCCAATAGATACCCATTTTACATATTTTTCGGTTGAGAAGATATTTTTCTGATGATAAGTGATGATAAGTGACTGTCACTCAGCTGTGAGGAGGGACTCAGACTGGACTTGACTCTGGAAGTTGCCATTGCATTGCACTGCATTGGTCCTACAATTATAAATATATATATATATATATATATATATATATATTATACACATATATACACACACACACACATATATATATATATACTGTGTTAGGTCGCTTTCATTATTCACTCGGACAAACTACTTCTTTGGTTTCCCTTTCTGGGACGCGTTTAAGCTTTTCCACTCACAACTCCCTCCTCTCTCTCTCTCTCTCCTCTCTCTTTGATACCACCCATCAATCTTTGCTTTTTCTCTCTCTCTCCTCTCTCTCTCTCTCTCCTCCCTATTTCTATATGGATTGTTTTTCGTCACAAATTATGCTCTGCTCCCCAAAACACTCTTAAATAAATAAATATAACATAAATGTAAATTATAATACCAATGGATATGTCCAACTCATTGCAGCTGCAGTTACTGGGGCAGAAAACAAGTTGGTACCAAGCCAAATTTGGCCAGCTTGGTAGCCCTTTGCCTATGTTCTGGCCTGGTGGGCTCCATTAATTTTTGGTCCAACATTTTATTGGAGATGAATTTTGTCTAAATCAGACCATATTTTAGCTATATAGCCCTTTACCCCTCTCTATTGGAGATAACATAAGGAATCTTTGGGGCTCTAAAAAAGAATCTCTATCAGTGAGGGGCTATATATTTTTCGCGTTATATATGGGACTATAATTTATTTATGTAGTAATTTAATTATAAATTTACTTTTGTCTTAACTTTTCTTAAGTTGATTTTTGGACATGTTATCTTAAAAAAAAATTAATGAACTTTTCAACCTAAAAAAATTCAAATTCTAACAAAGTCATATTTCATCACTTATGTACCGTTGGATTAAGTTATATTGCCTCAATCTTACTTATTAGTTTGTTTCTATGAAATCAGACAAGGTAAGATTTCATTTCATAACATCCCTTGTATTGGATTATATTATCTCAATTTCATCTGTTAGTTTATTTTTGTGATTGGCACATTCTCCAAAACCAAACAGGTCGATTGGATTTATCTCATCTCAATCTTGTCTTATGTCATCCGTTGATTATCTTAGGTCCCCTTGCTTGTTAAGCTTTCAAATTACAAAATTGTAATGGCCTTACAATCTAAGTATGTTGTTTGCTTATGTTTTCGGTTTAGGTCTCTATACTACCAATGTTATTTCATCACTTTCTTTTGTGAACTTTTCGATTTAGAAAATTAAACACAAAGCACAACATTTTTTTCTTAATCAATGACATATGAGTCATTTATGTTTTCTTGAACAATCGGTTGAAAAATAAACCCTTAAAATCATTAAAAATTTGAAAAATAAACCATTAAAATCATGTTTTGGAATTTGAAATGGGGCCCACCCATTTTTAAACTATAAAAAAAATATTGGGTCATCAATTTGGTGTGGGTCCCCCTGCTTTTTGGGACTAGATGGTGCTTAATGTTTTGCTACCCAAGGAATGAAGTTGCTAACCCATATGGTGAATGTTGCCTCATTTTCCAGTCCGTTAGGAATGAAAATTTTCACTAGAGCTATCAAGGCTTGTTTACGTAACCGTAATCAAAATAGAGGAATTGGATTGAGGAGGAATTGAATTGAGGAGGAATTGGATTGAAGAGGAGTCAGAATTGGATTCATGTTAAAGCTATTTACTTAAATGTTCTAGAATCGAAGTAAAAATGAAACGAAATTTATACAAGTTGTTTACTAATTCACCTGAATCGGAATAGAAATCAATGTGATTACTAAAATGCCCTTATTCTTTTTGTTTCATTTATTTCCCATATGTTTTTTAATAACATTTTCACAAAATGCCATTATTGTAAACCTTCATCTATCAGACTTCCCCAGCAGAAAATAAGAACTCCTCCCTCCTTTATTCCCCTCGCTTTCATCTTTCCCACTCACTCTACCCCATAAACACCACCCCTCCTCCCTGCCAAGTATTTCAATTTCAAGATTCTGGGTTTCAAGTTATTTCTTCACCGGATCTGTGGCTTTATTATCTGGGGTTTGGTGATAAATTCTTGAATCCGATTTGGGGGATATATGGTTGGGTTTTGTGAGGCAGTGGCATGGGAGTAAGGCATGGCTACACGGGGAGGTGGAGGTGAAACGCAGGGAGCGATGGGCTTGTTGGGTTGAATAGCAGATCAGCCCCAAATCGAAGAGACGATACTGTGAGAGTGAAGAGAAAGAAAGAATGGAGGATTGGGGGAAGTAGGAGGAGGAGAAGGTGGCGGCGGCCAAGCAGTTCATAGAGGTAATCTACAATATGTGGCCTTGATTGCTTCTGGATTTTCTTACTTAGACTCTGTTTGGATTGCTGAATAATGTAGTTTGGGTATTAATCCGAGCTCTGAATCATGAAACTATTTGGTGTTTGAATTTGGTGTTGGAATTTCATGAATTGGTTTCGATTTCTATTGTTTGGTTGCTAAGAAAATGTGGGAAGAACGAAATGTGTTGAGGATTTTGAAGTGGTGGAGCAAGATGAGGTGGCGAATGAGCAAAGGGCTGGTGGAGAGGATGGCGGAGGACAACGAGAAAATGGAAATGAGTACTGAAGGTGCAGGGTATTTTGGGAAGGAAAATTTGATTCCGGATGGAGCCTTATCTCAGTAATCCAAATACTACCTTCTTTTAGGTAATCCAATTCTGAAAATATCAAGAATTGAAATCCTGATTTTACATGGGTCCATAGAATTGTGCATTCCGCTTAAGTTAGTAAACAGAAGAGTAATCAGGAATGGGGAATGACTCCCATTTCGCCATATCCATTCCCTATATGTAAACACACCATCAATGTAGTAGCCTCAAAGAGGATAAAACCCCTATTGAAATACTCTAACACTATGTTTGAATGAGAGAATTAAACTTGAAATTTGAGTAAAAGTTATAAATTGACATGCACCAATTCCCTTATTTGGATTCATAATCATAGAAATTTAGAATTTCCGCATGGAAAAAAAACTTGGAATTTGGGACCTCCAATTTCCAAGTTTAAATTCTATATAAATAGATGTCATTTCTCAATTTCTATGATTGAGAGTTTAAAAATAACAAATTCCGTATTCAATTCCATTATTCTTTTAGGTTAACCAAACAAGAAAATTCACAAATTCTAGAAAATAAAATCCCGTCATTTCAATTTCCATCATTTTGAAATTCCTTAGTAATCTTAAATTTTTTCATCCAAACATAGTGTAAGCGCTTCTCGAAAAACCACTTCAGGTGCTTCTTGCCAAATGATTAATTTTTAAAGTAAAAATTAGAAACCACTTTTAATTCATAACCATCATTCAAATGATCCCTAAATTAGTATGGGTATTGTTTAATAGGATTTGTTGATGTCATTAACTCGTTATATGTAATCTTAAGGTAATGCTAACGTGATTAAATTTTTAAACTAAATAAATAAAAATTAATCACATGGCCAAAGACCCACACTCAAACCATTCCCTTGGCCAGAATTGATGGGCCTAATATTTGTCTCAATATTTTTTAGGGAATTTTAATGAAAAGCACCCGGTACTGTTCACTTTAACGAAAAACCACATTTTTACACTAAAAAGTCAATCCTGGTACTATTCACTTTACCCTTTATTTTGTCCTTATCATTAAAACTCAAAGTTTTCAAGCCATTTTCATTAGTTTTCCTTATTTTTTAACCATATTTCAGACAAACCAAACCAATAATGTCATCCTATTTGCTAACACAAATTATTATTATTATCACAAATAGAATGGAAGTGTCACGTGCGTTAAGGTGGACCTCAGCGTAGGAGAGAACAGCTTAGAGCAACTCCAGCTGGAGCTGGAGCTTGATGGACCGGCGACAAAAATGACCCAATAGCCCCAGTAATCTGCTCCAACCCATGCGGGAAATGGGGCTCGGGGGAGGCCCGAGTGAGAGGTCCGGCTTGAATTGGTGGCCAGAGAGCCTGAGGCCACATGATCCTAACGTCAGCCACATTATAAAATTAATATAAAAATATAAAAATTAATAAAAAATATAAAAAAGCAATAAAAATTAATAATTTTTTTAAATGTAAACAATTAATAAAAAAATCCGAAAAAAATTAAAAAAATAAAAATAAAAGATTTAATTTTTCTATAAATATTTTATCACTATCTTCCACCTTACACCACAATTTTATATTTTCTCAAATACTTTGGATTGTAATTTCTTATTTAATGAAATGTGGTACAATTAGACCGACTAAAAATCATATCCGAAATTTGAAATAAAAATATTTTTTATTATTTTATAAAATAAAAAATACTAATATTTTATTACTTATTGTCATGGCTATTCAGTTTAAGGATGGAGATGTAAAAAGCAGTTATTATTCATTAAAGGCCGTTACTGTTCACTGATGAAATTCAATAATGAGTTGCCCTAGGGAGCCTTTGCAACGCTAGAGTTGCTCTTAACCGCAGCCGCTGATGTCGTAGAGAAGAAGCTAACAACTTCAAAGGAACTGGTAAAGATATTAAATCTTGTATTGATGAAAATGCCCCCGGACTACTTTCGTTTTTTATATTAAAGGCTGAGAGTGCGCAATTCGTACATATATTGGTGTGCTGAGACAGAGGGTGCAAGAAAACGAGAGGCGGAGGAAAGTGAGAGACTGTGAGCTTTGCGGAGTCTGGGCGCGGGTTCACTGTGAGCCGGACCAAGCGAGGTTGTGTTGGGACTACGACAAGAAAGTTCACGAAGCTAACTTTCTAGTGGTGAAGCACCAGAGAAGCCTCATTTGCCGCAGATGCCAGTCGCTGACGCCGTGGACAGGGTCGGGTCCCAAGCTCACGCCCACCGTCTCGGTCTGCGAGATTTTCATTGAACACCGCGAGAGTAAGTTCGAGCAATGCGCGCTGGTTTAAGAAAGCGAAGCAGAGAATGAGGGCGTTGATGGTGAAGAGGAGAAGGATGACGGTGATGATTGTGACGAGAGTGATGAGGATGAAAACCAGGTGGTGTTAGACCTACAATTGGTTAGTCTTCAACAAGGATCACAAACAACATACATACATATATATATATATATATATGTATATATGTATATTTGAGGAATCTGAGGAACCTAATATCAAAACCCTAACGATGGTTCTAGATCTTGTTTTGACGTAATCTTCCCGTGAGTAGGGACACCTCCTATATAGACTTATAACCCAACTGCATTCCAACTATCGTGGGATTGTCAAAGCCTAAAAACCTCCGCGTTTGTCAGTTGTTAAACCACAATTGAAGCAAGTATTTAGTGTCCTACAAACAAGGGATTTTATCCCTTAAATGGTTTTGACTTTAATTAATTAATTCCACGTATGATTGTCCTTATTATGCTTAGTGACAATTCAATAGAGTCCTAACATTCTCCCACTTGAGTTATCATTGATCATATCCTTAATCAACATATTGAATCAAATTAATCCCATAGTGATCACTTTTGTCAACACAACCATCAATCCCTTTGCATATCTGCCAAATGAACCTTAGAAAATCTTGTACATCAATTCGTACAAGCACCCTAAGATCACATCACCCAAAATAACTTATGCATGATACAAATACTGAAACAAATTCAAAGCTTTGTTTCCAAGCTCCCATTGATCAGACCAGTCCACCATTGTCAAGCTTTTGTTTAGCTCTAATGGAATGCTTACGATACCAAGCACATTTAGTCCGAATCTTTCATCAGTCCACAACATTTCAATATATTGCTTACATATATTTGTACATATACACAATAGCTGAAATAAAACTTCAACCATTAACATGGTAAAATTCAAGAGTACATGAGTTCAAGCTTTATTTTTAACAAAAGATGAAATAAAATGAAAGATAACTCCTACTTCCACAGTAGTTGAATCAAAAGATTCAACCACGCCCATGTTTGCCACATGATTCTTGAAAACTCCCACTGCCAGAGGTTTTGTAAGAGGGTCAGCCAACATTAAAGTGGTGTCCATGTGTTCTATAGACATCATTGCTGCCTTCACCTTTTTCTTTATAGACAAATATTTCAGTTCCATCATTCATACATGTTTATGTTACGCCTTTGGGCAAGAAACGTAAACAACCACATTTGGAAAATAGATTATGTAACATTATTGTATAGCAGTCATGTAAAAGATTAAGAAAACAACCAAAATTTCAAGTTTTGGACAAGAAAACAGTCAACTTAATTCTCTCAAAAATGTTATATCTGAATAAATCTCAAACCATTCATATATTCCTCTCTTTGGAAAAGAATATTGACATGTTATGAATTAAAAAAAAAACACACGATTTACATAATCCATTACCCAAAGTCTTTTCACTGTTGTACCAAATCTAAAACGTTATTGTTATGCTTCCAACCATCTGAAGAATCCAAGAAACATTAGGCAAAGGAACAATCCACTTAACATTTTACAAAGTACAATATACTGAATAACGATTTGAACCACACAAAGTTCTTTTCTTTTGATAAGAATAAATACTCAGTATAAATTGGTGATCATAAACATACACATATATGTTTATATATAGTTTCTTTGACCAAAATTTCCTTATAATGTCACTTTATTGAAAAATTATATCAACATTTGTTCAAGAATAACTCATTATGGTTGTTGCTCCTGCAAAATGTTAGTTTCAATAAATGCCGAGATGAATAATTTTTATCATCTTGCCATTCAACTATGGCGCCTGAGAAACTTTTTGCACATGAATTGTTAAAATCAAAGACTAGAAACCCAAGGTCAATTTATAATGTGATTTGAATGACTTCAGATCAATACTCTTTATGAATCTCAAGCAGGCTAATTGCATCATAAATCAAGATACAACATGAATCAAGTCTCTGTTCATATACTACATATACCATTTGTAATAATGTTCAAGGTTGAGCATGCGTTTGATAGCATGGTGAATTAAAAGAATAGGTCTTTTCGGAGAAAATTAAGGTTCATTACAGCTTTATGCATATTGGTTGCAACATGTATATCAATTAAACATCATTGCCATATAATGAATTCATAGTAACATTTTTACCTGCAATTGATAGTAATGGCAGCAATCCAGGGGTACACATACCACGCCAGCCTTCGGGGACCATATTGAAGTCCGCGAAGTGAGGCCTTCCCTTGAGCCCGATGGATCGAACGTTCAGGAACCACCTGATCACCATCCTAGGGATGACATCGTAGCAATTCCCGCTAAAAATCACATCTTGCACCACCGTTCGATCTCGTACCACAACTTGCACACCGTCGAGATCGAGTTCCGATCCTGGTCCATCTGTATGAACGAGAACACGTGCTCCAGCACCTCATTGTGAAAGTAGTTCCGTCATGTTTAGCATTTTCCACAACTCAAACTGGTCGAACAACACTAAACCGATGCCGCTCTTCCGACTTCTCTTATGCCGCCATTCAGTGATATCAGAGGAAACCCATCAATCACAATGCTCTAATTCAGTAATTGAACCATTCATATACTCCCTTTTTGAAGAGAATAGTATGTAGGTCATGATAAATGAATTACAATATCCTGCAACCTAATTCATGCAACAATGCTTGACAAAATCCCATTTTGATGTGATCTTCTAAACAATTGTGCATCGGTGCAAAGTCTTGTTTCCTTAAAATTCTTCAACTTTGTTCTGCAAGTTCTGAGGGTTATATGTGATATGTTTAGACTAAAATAGTTTTGAATCCAAGTAGACTACCTTGCTCTGATACCAAATGTTAGACCTACAACTGGTTAGTCTTCAACAAGGATTACAAACAACATACACATGTATATATATATTTGAGGAATCTGACCAATCCACGTATGATTGTCCTTATTATGCTCAGTGACAATTCAATAGAGTCCTAACAGGTGGTTTCGTGGTTGGTGGATCCTCCACCGGCGGCGAGTTGTTCAAGCAGTGAAGAAGAGGAGAATGAGGAGGAATTTTCGGTGTCAAAGCGAATGCGAGAGAATGCGGACTTGGGATGTGATGAGACGGAGGCGTTCGATTGGTTACGAATGTTGAAGCGACGGAGACTGGGCGGGGAGAACCGTTTACAGAGTAAGAGATCAACGGCGATGGGGAGCTCAAAATCCAGAGGCTTGATAATGGAAACGGAGGCTATCAACGAAGATGATGATCATGATGAGAGCCGTTAGATTATGTTTGGATGGAGACTTCCAAATTCAAAGAAATTGAGTTCAATTAGTAAGTGATGGAGCTTAAAATGTAAATTAAATAGATTAGTAATGTCTTCCATGAGCATTTTAAAGTATTTGAACAAGATTTACAAATGACAAATTCTTAGTAGCAATTTACAGATATTTTTCTCTCGCCAACTTTTGCAATGTTCATAGGGGCATGCTAATCCTCTCTAATTTATATTTTATGATTTGATTTTACTAATTCGGAATCGATTCTTAGTCCCTGGCCCAAACATTATTTAAGTTTTTCTCTACCAAATGGAAAAGTTAACCATATGTATCTCGCAATTTTGAATTTAAGAACTCTTACTGATAAATGAAGAAAAATATTGCTAGATCACAGTGAATAGTGTTTTTCTAAACTCTCACAAATAAGTGAAGAAAAATATTTGTAATGAGTAGTTATGTGCCCGCATTGTGATAGGGTAAGTTTTGTGACCAAAAAGAAAAACATAAAATCTGAAGATAAAATGGAGAGAGGGGTCCGTCAGGGCTGGGGTTGGAGAGATTTTTTAGCATATGCCTAGAACACGAAGTAGTACGTCACAATTATTATACAAGGGAAGAATATTTTTTAATTTTTTAATATCTTTCTACTTAATTAATAACATATAGTGTATATACTTGTATATGGAACGCTGAAAAATCTATGTGGAACGAAAAGAATTAGGGGCGGATTGACAAGTTGAGAGAACAAGTGAGTGGTGGTATGCATGGACGGAGCTAATGAAGGCTCACTGGGGCAGATGCCCCCACTCAAGTAATTCGTTTGTTTAGTTGCAGACTACAATTATATAATATATACGGGTTATCTTTGAAGAAAATATATGTATCAAATATCCAACATACATTCATTCTACTTATACTCCATATCAAATATTATATGAGCAATAGTGTTCTTGTTTTGTCATTTAAACTGAAAAAACCCTCTCCTGCCTATCATGTACTTATATTTTTCTCATCATTTTGCCACTTTCCACTATTATATTGAAATTTTTGTAACATTGGAATTGTGATACATCATCATTTGAAATCGTCTTTAATATCATATTGCGTATAAACATACTATAATAAAGTTTTCTTAGTTGTTTTCGAATGCCCCTACTAGAAGAAATTTCTGGCTCCGTCCTTGGTGTTATGAAAGTATTGTCCTTTTAGTTTGGTGAAGAAATAGAAATGTTACTTTGAGTTGATTGCTTTGCTTCCTCATTTGCATCATTTCTTGGAAGATATATATTTTTTTATTATTATTTTGCGTTTTTTAATTGTCAATTTGTCACACTACCTATCTTGTTATATATTATGCATCATCCGATGAGGCGAGGCAAAGCAAAAGACAACATGAGGACTGAAGAAGAAGATAAGATAAGATAAGATAAGCTTAAGCTAAGTTAACATTTACATCCAACATGTTGGACCTTGGTCTACAATTATATTAACATTATTCCAAGGAATTTTTTGTGGGTAGAGCAAGCCAAAAATTCTCAAGAAAGTGGATAAGATTAATCTTAACCTATACGGTTCAGAATAAGTTTAAGAGTAATGTTAGAGAGACTAAATTTGTAGACAAAGTTTTAAAAACTAAAGAACATTGATGATTGGTTTATTACTTACACGTTGATAAACGTACTTACTTTTATTGGTAACACGTCATTTAGTTTGCAAATTTAATCTTCAAAAAATTGAGTCTTCTTAGTATTACTCTAAGTTTAAATATTAATCACTCTTTTACTTTACAATCTTGTTATCATACAAGTCATATTTTATATTAGACCATCTCTAATGGTTGGGCTAAAAGCCAAATATTTTAGCCCAGAAAATTTAGCTTTTAGCCCAGAAACAGTTTTTATGCTCCAACCGTTCTAGCCTAAAATTTTAGCACGGGATTATTAAAGAATGAATTTAGGTTATTTTTGTGGATAAATTAAATTAAAAAAATTATATACATATACTTTCGTAAATTAATTTATGAACATTTTTATCTAAAAAAATTTTAATTCCGATAAATATTGAAAAATTTAAATTCCGATTTCTGGGCTAAATTTTGGAGGGAATCTGACATTAGTTTAGTATTTAGCTTTTAACCCAAATTTTCCTCTTGGGTTGGATTGGGTTTGGGGGGAAATTTTGAGGAGTAATTTGGCTTTTAGCCCACTATTGAAGTTGGTCTTAGTTGTTGCAAATAAAAGATAAGACAATTGCTTATAATTCTAACCACATAGCTAATCATGTAATGAGTGATGTAGAAACATTTTATCACGTCAATCAATAGTTGAACGTCACCTCATCTTTTTAGTGCAATTCATGTACCGACATTACCAAATATTGTGTAAAAAAATTAAATAACGAAAAATCAATAGAATCCCACCTTGAATAAAATCTCCTTACAATTCCTCAACTTAATAATATCTTACCGTGCAGTAGGGGTTTTCTTCGTGATCGTGGTTACTGAGGCTGTCTCATTCTGCCAGCGCATGACGCTTCATATGCCTTCCTTGTCAGTCAAACTTAGTAAGTCAATATGTCTACAGTTGATGTAATATTTGTAACTGACACCCCTACCCATTTCCAAAACTTTGGATCTCGGTTTCGTATTACGCAATACACGATTGACCAACAATCTGGACAACGTCAAGACTCATGCGACAATCCCTAAATACAAGAAAACAACTCTCATGATACAAGTAAACAGCTACCATGATATCTCGTGTTAATGTTTCAACACCATGAACAAAAGCTTACCCATGTCTAGAGACAGGTATACAGCTATCATAATCTCGTTTCAAACTTACGTCATGTGAACAAAAATTTGCACAGGTCTCGACACTACAGTATACTTATTGCCGTGTCGTGTACGTCTTTATCCAAATGCAGACAGATCATTCTGTTTATTTCTTATTGAAACACTTGGCTAACCAACAATTTCCTACGATCGATGCTATCCTGCTGATATTGTCATCACAAAGTCGGTTTGAAAAAAGACTGAGTGCGTTACTGTGTTGGACTGTTGCATGTAGTTTGCATGCCAAGACATTCACTTGTGGATAAACATACGCGTCCGGCATATATATCCATCCGAGTTCAAAGAAAAGAACAACATTATGCTACTCCAGAACATTCAGACTCCACCACACGACGGAACCCACAGCGAATCAGCGCCTAAAGGCAGCCACCCATGCGCACGTGGATGGACGACTATCCTTAGCATCATTCTTCAGAACAAATCCGACACAAGAAAAATGAACGGCTTCGAAATGTAATGCAATCACATGTTGTGGTAGAAAGTACCTTACCATAGCAAGCAATCGAAATATAAACATCCAAATTTATAAACTGCGTCTAGGATAATTATTAGACACATCTAATAATTAAATTTGTATCATACGAGCAACAAGAAGCACATCCCTCGAAACTAAAAGGAGTAGAGTCACAAAGCATTGAACAAATTAGGAAAGACGTAGAGAAACCCTAAACCTCATTCACCATACAAATAGCATCTACAGTCCTCCCAGAGTTCATACATGAGAAAGAGCTATTGCAGAGGAGAGAAAGCAGACTTGACTCCTGCAGGCTGGACTCAAAGTGTCAGCCACTCCCAGTCGACTCAGACATCTACACAAACTGCACAATATAGAACCATGACTTGGTCACATTCCACACAACTTACTCAAAACCGATGCCACACTATTTCATGAAAACTGTGCAAAGATAAAAGCGGCAGGAAATATACGTTATAAGAAACCCGCTTTTTGTCTCTGATGTCTATGCAAATAGAAGCTCTTACTGAAGCAAATTCAAAATTATCCAAAAATTGAGATATTCGGCATTACGTACAAACCTGTACTTGAGAGGATTCAACTACGACTCAGAATACGGGCTAAGCTTCTGCCACAAGACAAACAACCAATAATAATGTCATGAACATCTAAAGATTTGTTAAAGTTTAGTCCATAAAAAAACAGGACAGAACATCCAGAAAGAAAAAAAAATCCACTTCGTAACAATATTTCTAGCCTGCTTATCTCCACTCTTTTGGAATCTAAGAAAGCAAATGTAAACACACAGAAACTTACTTCTACATGCACACAATGAAAAATCTTAAATCTACAATGGCATTCGGCCCTTCCAGAAACTACTTGCAAGGCCTTCTTTCACACAACCTTACGACATTCTCCTATAACAATCTACCTTGGGGCTAAATACATATAAATATGTTTACATGTTTGCATTTATTATTATGTAAACTGTACACTAACATGTCAATAGTGCACCAACTAGTACACAAGAAACATATCCTGGGGCTCATAAACCTAATGGAGCAACAACCGAAACTTACAACAAGAGAACAAACTGCTCCTCAGTAGCTGAAACCATGTCAAAATTCAAAAAATAAATTCTGCAATTTAAAATGGATGAACATATGTAAATATGTGTGACAAGATTTAAGTATACTATTTAATGTACTGCACGTGTCATTGTCGTAATGCATTGCTTAATCAACTAGTATAGAGTAAACACTTCCATAAATCATTCATAGTTGTCCAATATGGGTACAGGTTATACACATATCCCACGGTAAACAGATTCACCTGAGATTTGTGCAGTAGATAATAAAAAGACATCCAAAGTGTTCATCGGGCCAAGGCAAAGATAAACAAAAGGACATTTAAAACCCAGTATGCATAAGCATTTTGACAAAATGTTCAGTTTGAGGATTTCCTTTTAAAATGTTATATTAGTTGATGACTTGATATGACTGATACAGGGGGTGAGAGAGGAGATGAGTAATACAGTCAAATCAGTTAAACTTACTGATGAAACAAACTGTTTTGTTATACTTAGAATATGCGAGCAGACGCGTAGAAGCCAATTGATAGTAGCTATCCTCTAATACAACCAAAGATGAGAAATTTAGATAATTAATTAATCATTTTCTACACACGAAAAGGTGCGGTTGGGACCTGACAAGTGATAACTAGACGTGTAGAGAACAGTAAATTTACAAACAAGATTAATGCTTTGTTTTTTACCATTATTCACGAATCCTGATTAAGTCCTGATCAAAGCTGTTTATCTCAAAATAGTAACTAGCAAGAAGGCATCATCCAGCAGAAAGAGAATACAAGAGAGGTACCAAACTATGAGCAGCAGATAAGTCAGAACAAGTACTGGCATCTTCTTAGCCTACTGAACTTACTGCTAAGCTTGCCATCGATGTTTATAACCTTGCTCCTCATTAAAATTTCAAACAAATTTACTTTTTTTCTACAGCATGGGCCTATGCAGCAAAGTGTCTAGGAAACAACCAACTAGAAATAAGAAATATGACGAATGAATTTTCCCTAACATGTCATCAAAACGAGAAGTTTGTAAAATTTGCATCACTTTTGGCATGGAGAACTTATTCCGACATTAGAGAAAGAGGTAGACTTCCTTTTGTTTATATGAAGCATCTGGCACATACTACTAAAGGGAGAACTAACACCACAAGTGATTATCTTCCAGAAGAAAGTAAAAAAGATATTCTTATAGGTAGGATATTTAATTGAGAAACCCCAACAGGCCAAACCACAAGTGCATGGGGATGGTATATGCTGCCTAGAACCTCTATGCACATACAGAATTTCACAAAGGATTGTTAAAGAAGATTGGAAAGACCAATCAACTCTCACACTAAGAAACATAAATTGGAAGGCTCCATGCTAATCTAATATAACACATCTCGTTTTCGTTCAACAGCTTTTTCACATTCAAAGAACCTCATGATGCTTTCAGAAAACAAGCATAAATTGCAAACATTGCAAAAAGATCAAACTTTGTTTAATCAACCATGGCTTTGAAAATCCATAACATAACATTTGCAGTTCACAAATACATCGGAAGCAAATTCAAATTCCGTTTTGCGAAAAGTTAGATGGATACATCAGTAACTGGTAATTGACAAAGTTCCCATTTGGAGCTGTCATTTCAGATATGTGTAATGTGCAACAAATCACACCCAAATATGATATAATCATCAATCAAATTATATTAAAGAGAATCAATAAAAACCGAAACTTGAAGTTACTCCAATTAAATCAGAGAAAAAGCCCTAACCTTTCTTATGCTCCTCCTTTACCACCGTCACGGGCTTGATCACGGCCTCTTCCTCCTCATTCTCTTTAACGGCAACAACCGCCGCGGCAACAGGAGGACCACCAGAACCACCACCAGCAACGCCGCTACTGTCATCCTCCGGAAACCGGACAACAACAACGGGACAAACGCAGTGATGAACACAATAATCGCTGACGCTCCCAAGCCTACCGTCAGTCCCACGCTTGGTGGCGCCGACCCCTCGGCTCCCCATGATCACGGCACTGAGCCCTAGCCTCTCAACCTCCAAGCAGAGCCGCTCCTTCATGTCATGGTCCTTGACGATGTGGATCTTGTACGGAATCTGCGCCTCCTTCAAGGGCTTGGCGAGATCGGCGACCTTGGAGGCGGTGAGGGCGTCGAAGTCGTTCTCGAGTTTCTTCTGCTTGACGGAATCGTGCAGGGCGTGGTTGTCGACGAAATCGACGTCGTCGTTGGTGTTGATGGAGAGGTCGACTGAGCCCCAGTCGGCGCCGAAAAGGACGGAGGTGGGGCTGACGTGGAGGAGGATGACGGCGTCACCGGGGCGGATGTAGTGATCGACGGCCCAGCGGACGGCGTGGGCGCTCTCTTCAGAGAGGTCGACGGCGACGCCGAGCTTGCGGCGGGCACCGGCGGTAGGGGTGGGAGTGGCGGCGGAGCCGGCGGAGGAGGAGTGGTGGCGGGGAGAGTTGGGGTGGTGGATTCTGATGTGGGGGAGTTGGGGATCGGACGGGTCTTGGGGCTGAGGAGGCTGCTGAGGGTGATTCATCTGGGTTTTGGAGAGGTTTCGGTTGTGTTGTTTTCTGTTTGGATAGTCGGAAAATTGATGGGAAAGTGAGAGGGATAAAAAGTCTTAAATGCTTATAGCATTAATGATGATGCTTGCGTATATGCCAAAGTCCAACACAAAATGACATCCGGAAGTTCCTCATTTTCTCTCTCCTTTTACTTTTTTAAACTTTTTTTTTTTGGGCCCTTATTAAATTGTGGCCTAGCCCAATGCTTTGTTAATGGTCAAATCATTATTACTATTGAATACCAATTTGTAAGCCCATATGGGTTTTTTTTTTTTTAAGAAACATTTCTACTCATAAGCGTTGTGCTAGAAAGAGATATGTTATGCCCACCCGGGCACACCTAGGTAATGAGCATGGTTTGTGAATGATCCAGGTAAAATGTATTGGTAACATGTCTCCACAATATTAATAGTATATAGGTAGTGTATGTCATTGTAATGTCAACATGGTAGAGATACATTGTCAATACGAGTCATGTCCAAATTATGTGCACAACCCAGATCTGCGGGTAAGCATTTCTAGCGCTCTCTAGAAAACCACATAGAAGTTCTACCTAGAGGCTCTTTTTTTTATTTTGGTCAAACGATAAATTTGTTATATTAGATGTTAGATTAGGAAGCAGGCGGAGTTCGAACCCACGCCGTAGTGAGAGTGGTGGAGAGGGCCGCTTGCTACCTAGAGGCTCGTTTGATGAAGCGTTTTGGGTCATCCCATAAGCATTTCTGAACTAATTAACGACAATGTTGCTGATTATTTTGTTAATTAGCGTAAATGGTCTAAAGCTCAGTCCCATCTTCTAAGTGTATATCAAGTTGGAATTAAAATAAGACTTAAGATCCCACTTGGCCCGCCACTCATGTTGACAAAACTCTGCAAGGTTTATGTCGAACATGGTTTTTTAACTTTTTACATATACAATTTAGTTTGTTTAAACTCCACTACAAGAAAATATTTCATCAGTACTAAGATTTAGAGATATTTTTCTTCATATGTAAGAGGGATCTTAGTTTCGACTTACTTAGATGGCAAGTTCGGTACCTAATTATTATGGATGACCTCTTGTGTGAATTAACACAAATTTTACACTTATCAATATCTAATTCTTATGATTGACTTATTGTACGACTTAATACAAATCTCCAAAGTATGTAATGAGAGTCATTGGATCAAATTATCAAACCAAGACGTTATGTAGCATAGTTTGAGAGAGAGGCCGCCGCAACTGGTAAAATAGGATGCAAATTTTTTACACCTATTACAATTTTCCAAACCTTTTATGCTTCAATGCTTTGAGTGCTTGATAATTATGGAACCTTTTGTCATTACAAAGCCCATTTTTTTAGGAAACCCGGATAATGGCAGCTCAAATCATGATACTAAATTGTGAATCAAAGAAGTATCACATAAATCTAGCTCATTAATATCTCAGTGCACTTAAAGTCACAGAGTATTGTAGTAAGGCCCGAAAACTTATGCATTTTATTGTGTTATATTAGTTATGAGTAGTGAGTTTGTGCCATATTCCTTGCATAAATATAATGACACGATAATTTTCTTGCCACCAATTACTTGGCAACAAAGTAAAACGTAAATAAAAGAAAAAGATTAATTAATGAAAGAACCAAAAATACGAGAGCAGGAAAAGAGGAAGTGAAAAGGAAAAGCTGCACTAGCCCACAATATATATATATATATATATATATATATATATATATATATATATATGTATGTATGTATATATGCATAAATATGTAGGCTACTGGCTAGGGTTTAGGTTGATCATGATCAGAGTGCACCCAATGAAAAAGCAGCTGGAAAAAGCTTCCATCCCCATCTGCAGCATGCAGGCATCAGATCCCTACAGACTCCCAGTGAGGTCGCCTGGCAGCTGCTCCCTCTTCTTCTTGCATGGTCTGGCCTTGGTCTGCTCAGTATACTCAGCAAATCAGCAGCAGCCACTCAGTAGTATAACATGCCGTCAATTACATACAGCATGCAGCTATGGCAGATTACACGTAATCTGATAATTTCCATTTACACTCTTTTCAATTATATTCTAAACTCATAAATTACATGCATATATAGCTTTCTCGATTCGACATCTCCATTGGTGATATGTAACATTTTCTTTTATTTCTACGTACCCCACAAAACAAAAGGGTCGGTTATACAAGCTTTATCGATTTAAGGCATTCCTTACACAACTAAGGGAAAAATTAAGCCAGATACAATTTCATTGAATATTTAAGCCGAAATTTGGTAAATAGACAACGGAAAATTTGCCTGTTTGGTATCCTATTTGAAATTTTTTATCATTTCTCAAAATATTTCTAAAACATTTCTCAAGAACATTTATTGAAAACAATTTTCTTTAAGACTCAAAAACTTGATTGGTTTGGGATTTAAAATTTTTAAATCTTATGATTTAAACTAGATAGTAGATCTATAAAGAAAAGGGGTCGCAGGAGAGGGAAAAAGATGAGAGGAGAGAAAAGAAAGTAAGAGATGATTGAATGAAAGAGAAATAAGATAGAGGATCGAACGAGGTAGAGAGGAAGAGGAGTTAAAGAGAAGAAACCAAGAGAATGAAGAGAGTGGATTGGAGGAGAGACGAAAGGTAAAAGAAATTAAATTTAATTTTAAAAAAAAGGAGAGAGAAAGAAGAAAAGAGAGAGATATAGATTTGGAGTGAGAGCGGGGAGGAAGAGAAAATGAGTGAGTTTGAGTTTAAAAGCTCACTTTTTATGTTTTTAGGGAATATATTATATTTTTTAGTTTGTCTTGAGTTCAATTTTTGAAATAGTCCTACCAAACAAGTTTTTAAGACCTAAAACTTGAAGATTGTTTTTTAGTTTAAAAAGTTAAATTCAAGTAGAGTACCAAACAGACCCTTAGTTTTTCGAAAGACATGAACAGAACTGATGGATTCAAACTTATATGTGAGTGTTGTAGCTTATGGCAGAGCACATTAGAAGGGCCAAGAGCCTTAGCACAAGCTATCAGAGGAGCACTATTTCGAACAATATAGTGAGAAAAATCGTAATAATTCGTGAATATGATATTTTCTTTTCTTATGAGTATATAGAAGAATATTACCTCAGTTTATACTGATACTGATGCCTTAACTAATAAATTTTCCAACATCTAGTTGAAAAACTTAAACAACGTTTGATTGCAGTCACTTATACCATTTTTTCAACAGATAAACAATCGTCATTACCCTCTTTTGACAAAAAAATAAGATATTTATACATTATGTGGGTCACAAGCCTACAACTAGATATCGAATTAATCACAAATATATATACATCATCCTTTGCATCTATGTGAATTAGATTTTGAGACCTGCAACCAACCACTAAAACAAAGCTAGTTGGTGTGACTCACTTACATCTACATTAATTTTAAAGCAGTACCAAATTAAATTGCAGCAATGAAAGGGATTAACTAATAACAGATGAAATATAGATCACATGAGAAGTAATGGCAACTTGGATATGGAATTATAAAACAACAACCATTGTAAAATAACTTTCGAGACAGAGACTTAGATTCTAGCTTTAAACATGCATTAATCCAGCTTCTATTGCATGGAAACTAAATAAATTAATTTAGTGATGATAATATCTATGTCGGTTTAATTAACAACAAAAGGGAAACCAAAAAAGCTGCATCAGCTGGGTTTGTTTCTTTCCCAAATGCCTGACAGATCACTAGTAGCATCAAAACCCACCAAAACATACACCTTTTCTTTCTTTTTTCGCTTCTAAAATGAAAGCTTGAGTGACAAATCAACAGGATGATGATGATGTTGATGATCATGGTAACTGTCAGCTGCCCCAATCCCATAGCCATTGAAAGTTGCAGCAGCAGTAATATCAGAAGCTTCTTCTTCTTCTTCTTCTTCTTCTTCTTCCCTTCCTACTGTTTGCAGCTTGGGATATGTGCATCCTCTTTTAATTTCATCACTTTTCTGATAATCAGCAGCTGGAAAAAACTCATATTCCATGAAAATCCCACCACCAGCTGACCCTCCCTTTCTGTGCACTGCCCTAACCCCTACACCCTACAAATTTACAAAGTCAATAATCCAACCAATCAAGTTAATTTAGATGTTCATTCACCAAAAACAATATTATATATTTATCCGTTCATTACAATCTGAAAAAAATTAAATATACCCGAAAAACAATAAAACCAAATTAATATATACATATTTGACTTGGACTTTATTTGGGTTTTTTTTATCTCTAGCGGTAAAATTAAATTTTTTCTTGTTCTATACCTGATCATCAACAAGGTTGCTGCGCCCCAGGTACCCGGCTGCTCGACTCCCCACTCGGTCACCAAAACTGCCGGTTTCAGGGTTCAATCCGAGAAAAACAGAACCGTTGATTGGTGAAACAGTCGCAGATATGTCACTCCTGCCGTTCAAAGCCATGTAATCCCCACTATTGAACCTCTTCTTCTGCAGCCCCTATAAAAAAAGAGACAGAAAAGGGATCAGCAAATTTAAACCTAAAACAAAAAGTGGGAAAATAAAATGCTCTTACTAATGTAACAGTACTAATAGTCTTAATAAACAAAGGGAACACAATGGCTTCAAAGATTTCATTTTTTCCATGTTTTCTGGCAAACCAAACAAGTTGGAAGTTGGATATTTCTAAATATAAAATGGAATATAAAACAAAACAAAACAAAACAAAAAAGTAAAGACCTTGAAGCAGTGATCACAGCAATCAGAAGACAAAGATTGTATCTTTGGCATTGAAGAGAGCTCTCTCGAGGTCTCGTACACAGCCCCACTTTGAACCCTCGGATCCGGCGCCCAGACTCCGTACGGACGCGGATCCAGGTTCGTCACCAGATTATTCCTCCCAGCATAACCAAACCCAGAACCATTCCCAACCCTCTGACCCACCAAACCATAAAAACAAGTTGTAGTAGCAGCAGAACCGCCACAGCCGTTCATCACCGAGGGTCCATTGAACCTGGATGCACCGTACTGCACCGGAACGCTGTTAAGCGGGTCAGGTAGTGTTATGGGGTTTTGGTACTGATGATGATGATGATGAGGAAGAGGAGGAAGATTGAGGACTTGGGGTTGGGGCTGGAGCTGGGGCACTTCGGTCATTTTCTTCCAGTCTTGAAGCCTCAGGCGCTCCAGCTGAGCCACTCCAAGGCCTCTTTGCGGTTGCTTTTTAGTGTTTGAGGAGGCTTTGGTGGAGGATTTCTTGGTGGTTTTGGTGGGTTTGGCGGGCTCGGATTTGGATTCATCGTAGGACCCGAAAAGGGTTTTGGCGGGTTGTTTTGTTGTGTTCCGCTCAGAGGCCATGAGCAGCATTGTGCTGAGTCGTGAAGCGAGTCCTTAGCACGTTGTGATGGAGTCATATCGCATGTGTATGTCTTTGCGTGAAGGATATATTTATAGTAGAGAGGTCCGATTTTGAGACAATAACTCTACGGTGCTCCACTTTAAAGTGTGTAGCCGTATATATCACTCGCTTCTGAGTCATCTTTATAGGGTGTTCGACCCTCCGCTAGACGGGTTATACGGCTGTCATTTGTGTAGAGAGAGGAGGTCTGGATATGAGTATCACCTTCACTCGCTCATGTCGTTACAGCGAACTCAAGGGTCATCGTAGTGACAACTCCGTCCCTAATTTTACGATTTTATTAATTGTTAAAAGGGGTGAATTGACAAAATCATGCCATAGAGGGTGAAGGCTCGGATTAACTCTCTCGCTCATAATCTGTAACCACGCGAATATTGAAGGAATGGAGTGGGAGAGGAGAGGTCTTTTAAAGCATCACCTTTGTAACTCACCTATACGTGAGAGTGAATAAGCATTAGGGTCGAGGTGCTGGCTGGCAAGAGGCACCAGTGGCTAGATAAGGATGTTTACTAATTGTACGATGGACAACTGAGAAGCACGAGCGGCGTGATCAAGTAAACGGAATCAAAACTCTCTGCGCACACTGCTAGAGTTATACGATGTCTCGTATCAGAGCAGAGAGCCATAGATATATAGCGGGTGCTGATCCAGAAATGAGAGGATTACATCTCGAGTATATATTAGGCGGTTGGTATTATCACCCGTCAGGTACGTTTATTGAGAAGGGACTCTATTCAAACTCTTAAGAGTTATATCCGTCTCACTCGGGAGTGAGAGAGTTGTACATATACACAATCAAATGTATATAAGGATGAGTCACGTGTGTTGTTCGTCTCGCCACTTTCTCCAGTTGCTAGAAAATATTAATTTCATCTTGATGAATTAGTTGCGTGTTGTCCATCTCCACGATGCTATATGATATTATTATATATGGTATATATATATCACGGAGATGCGCTCATAGAGTGCTACGAGTGACTATACCACTGACCACCCCTCTCACACTCTCTCTCTCATATACTGTCAGCTCTTTTGTGGAGTGCAGTGATGCTCGTCTCTTACTGAATGTATCTTCCCCATTTTTCTACAGGAAACCGCACTTCACCATCACACATTTGTTGCTCTGGCGAGCATGACCGCACCACCATACCATCCTTCGTCATGAAACCTAAGTCATGGGAACGTGACATTCCTCTTTCTCTCCCGAAGCAGTGGCACCATTATTGTTCAAAGATTTTTCCCGGAGAGCTCTCGTTATTCCCAGCTAAGGTAAGCTTTGAAAACATCTAAGAACTTCTTAAATCTCGTTTTAATGTAGGATTATGATAAATTTGAGATGTTTTGGTGACGTTTTGATGTAGAAATACCTCGGGGGAAATTTCCCTAGTTTTCCGGCAAAGACCCGTAAGTTGCAGGCGTCTTCCGGCTATTTTCCAGCCACGGTGGAGACCTAAAATGGTATCATTCGAACCCCTACCATCCTAGCTTCATTTTGATCTTTAAATGATGAATTTAGGTGGAGTTTTGTAGTTAATCCGAGTTGTGGAACTTTTTCCGACCATATTTCCCCAGAATTCGAGGACCTGCTGGAAAAGAAGAAGGAGAAAAAAAAAAGGGTCGAAACCCAAACTGGGCCCAAAACCCGATCCAACCTTGGCCCAAATCCTTAGCCTAGTCGACCCAAAACTTTGGGCCACTATTTTTTAGCCCAGTCCACTTCCAAATAGATTCTGGAATATTCCTGTTCCTTGAATATTCTTTAGGATATTCCTTGTGAGACTTTTTTGAAACTTTCTCGGAAACCCTTATTCGCTAATTTTGACATCTTGAGTCCATTTTTGACATCCATTTAGTGAAACTCTAAAGTTTTAATGTAGTTGACCGCCGGGGCGTCTCAGTTGACTTTTAGGGTTGACCGTCGACCGACCTTCTCGTTGACTTTTTATAAAATTTGCCGGGGACCTTTCTTAGTGTATTTCGACGCCCTGATTCCAAATTCGCACTCTGTTTTCCCAAGTTTAATTTTTTTAGTGGATTTTTACTAATGGGTCCTAATATTATGCTTAGGTACGATTATTATCGATGACTTCGCTATTCTAGTTCGAACGGGTTCGACTTAATGACGTGATCTGTGAGTGGATCTTTTCTTTAATATATATATATATATATATATATATATATATATATATATATATATATTGGTTAGTTTCCATATATACATTCATTAATGATGATTTTGCTATATGAATGCCATGATTAAATAATGTTATAAGAAATGTTATACTGTTACGAAATATGCTACGAGATACACATGTAAGTTTATTATGTTGACTAAAATTATTGAATCGTTATGGCATGCTTATATTTATGTAGTCTGCTCATCATTGTTGCTCCCCAGTGTTAGTACTCGCCCAGGGCCAAGGCCAGTCTTTCACGTGTATGTTCACCTCTGCACCGCATGCTCGCCCTAGATTGAAATAGGTGCCAGTCTTGTAGTACAGGTTGCATTAAGAAACTCTGACACGTAAGTGACCGCGAATAGCGCCAGTTTTCACGTGATTGTAGCACTATAGCGTATATTATGATTACACCCAGTCCTGTCGTACAAGTTGCATTAGGCAACTCCGAACTTGTGTGCTAGCATAGATTGATGAGCATCAGTTCAGTCGTACAGGTCACATTAGGCGAATCCGACTTGTGTGCTAGTATAGATTGATTGAACACCTAATTTTACTTATATTACTATGTGGCATACTTATGGATTTACTATTGTTTTGCATTTGATTTCATACCTATACTCAATATGATTTTCGGGAAACTATACTTGTTTTACGGTGAGGGGTTATAATGTTTTCAAAAGGTTTTTACTAAAACTTTATTTTCAGGCCCACTCACCTTTGTTTTTCGCCTCTCAAGGTTTTAATAGCCGAGCTTTCGTATCGACGAGGATTCTTGGCAAATCTCAGTATGGGTGGCTACCTATGATGGTATAATCCTTATCCTACCTTACTATACTTTACTTATGCTCTGTCATCACACTCTCGCTCACTAGCGCACTGTTATATTTAGGCACTTTTAGGTTTAAATTTATTCACATCTTCCACATCACTACACTTTATGGCTTCGTCACCTTCCAGCTGTCGGCCATCATAGCTCAATTCGAAGTCCTAGTGGACATTTCGGGTCGGAGTGTGTCATGTCGAAACTTGATCTTGAATTAGTTTGCTTCTTCAAAGAGTCGTAGAGGCGTATTTCTTGAACGAGACATTTCTTCAAGGGTTGTTGAGGCGTATTTCTTGAATTGAAATGATGAATTTCATCAAGGGCCGTTGAGGCTTGATCTTGAATGAAATTTTTCTTCAAGGGTCGTAGAGGCTTGTTCTTGAAAGAAAAAAAAAAATCAAGGGCCATAAAGGCATGATCTTGAATGAAATTTTGGAAATGGATAAATCGGCACATACTTATTGTGCGTATTGATTTTCCATAATTTTGACAAAATACATTTGGTGTATTTTGAATTTTTTTTCTTGTGGTTGTAGGAAAAATGTTTTTCCTTCCTTAAGTGGGAACCTCCTTCAATTTTGGTAATCAGGGTGATCTCCTTCAAAGTGTTGGAAAGCTTTGGTGATTTCCTTCAAGGTTTTGGAAAGATTTAATGCTTGTCCTTGGGTAAGTAGGATTTGCATTTTTTTTTTCCTTTCCCTTTTTCTTTTTTCCATAGTAAAGAGGGTATTTTCCCTTTTGGTTTGGGAAACTTGAAGACTTGTCCTTGGTTTGGGAAACATGTCATCTGACTTTCATGCCACGTTTGAGGTCGATTTATCTTTTAGAAAATTCTGTAAAAAAAATGGAAAACGTAGCTTTATCTCTTATCTTTTCAGGCATTTTCAGGCATATATCGCACACACACTAGGAAAAATTGGGAAAGCCTTCAACTCGTCATATATTCCCATAGCTGTGCAGTTCTAATGGGAAAAACAACTTCTGCGGGATTAACTTTGAAAACTAGAAATTTTGGCTTTAGGGAAAATTATGAAAATTTGGATAAAAAACGATCATCAGCCTGTTTGCTTCCTTCTCTAATTGGCCTTGCATCAAAACTCCTCTAGAAAGTTTAATTATCACCAAAAATGTCCTGCTTGCGCAGATTGGCTGAAACTTGCCATTTTTTTGTTGGAATTTGCTTTCTTTTTTTGGTTTGAATGTACTTCCTTCTTTTGATTTTCGTTTTGCTAGTTGGTATGTACTCTCCCTTATAACATTAAGAAGCAATTGACCCCTATTTATAGTACAATTGGGTGTGTGCTTTTTGTCACAAAACACCCTTGCCATGTGCGTGTTGTTGTTGTTGCCATAGCTGCTTACTGCTGTTGTTGCCATGACTGCTTGCTGCTGTTATTGCCGTGGCTACTTGAAGCTTGTTGCAGTGCGTCATTTTTTTTACCATGTGATGTTGTTCAAAAGACTGCAATAAGGTTACACTGTGTAGTGCCTTTTGGTCACGGTTTTTCCCTTGGTGGTGACGTTGCCGGGCAGTGTAAGAAACTGCTTGCATAATCGATATGGGGTTGCGTAGTGCGATTGCATAGAATTTTGGTTTTCTTTTGCTATGGTAGCGTGCTTTGAAGGAACGTCTTGCAGCTGCCCTCTTTGCTGTGCTGCTCAAGCTTTGTGGCTGATTTCTTTTCGTTGTTGTGACTTTGTCATCGCCATCATTCAACGCTCACGAGGTTTGTCTCGCATGTCTTTTGCTTTATTAAAAGCGATCTTCTTCTTTTTTTTTCTTTCTTTCTTGCTATCTCACCTTTATGCTTATGCTGTCTTTTTTTTTTTTTTTTGCAACCATGGTATTTTTCGAGTGCTTTAAGAGCAACACCATCCCTATTCTTATGAAGGAAGGTAATTCACAAGTTAGGGGAACAACATTGAAACTTTATGCGCCGTTAACTAGCCCTAAGACGCTTATTCTTCTTGCAAAAGACAACTTGATGCATATCGAGTCGTGGTCGTCCAAATATGAAGAAGAAGGCGTGCATGTCATGTCGAGGATTTCTTATTTTGAATCCTTCACACCATGTTCATGACAATCCACCAGCTTCGTTTGAGCTTTTTAGTGATCATATCCGTAACGGAGCTATGACTTGGAATAACACCTTGTCGACTGTTGGAGAAGCCGTGTTTGTTTTTTGCTCATTTTGTAATACGGCTTTACAGCCGAAATCTTCCTTTAAAGAAATAAAGTATTCACATTCTTGAATTTACTCTTTATTCTTCAAAGTGTTTGTGTTTTTGTTGGCCATGTGACTGTACTTGAAGTTTGGAAGTTTCAAGTTGCCTACGTACCCTTAGTTGAGGAGGGATCAAGTCTTGATGTAGTTCAAAGGGGTGTTGAATTGTTTTTTTATGGTATTGGTGGTTTTGGTGGTGATTTTGATGATGATTTTGATTTTGTTTTGGCAGTATTGTTAAGCTTCAAGTCTCATTTCGTCAAGTGCTTCCAAATCTTGAAGTCATAGCTTTGCGTTTTCCTCTTCAATTAAGTCTTCTTGTATACCCATCCTTAGTGAGGGGATTTAACTTTCAAGCGGCAGAACAACTTCCACGCCATATACGAGAGAATAAGGTGTAGCTTGGGTAGGAGTCCTATGTGTCATCCTATATGTCACATGTATCACCACTACTAGTGTGCTTTTGATATCACATTGGGCAATCGTAGTGCCTTCTCGATGCTAAAGTGTGCTAGTAGGCTTTCTTTTTGGGTGTGGGAGTTTTCTCTTCCACAATGGCAATAACTTTGCCTTTTGAGGGCTCTTCTCTATCTCTATTTCAACCATGTGGTAGGCAACGGTAGTGCACTGTCGGAATAAGCCCTTCCACTACTATAAAAGAGCCTTATAGTGTCAGTTGTTGCGTCGATTTAATATAAATATAGTGGCGCACAAGAGAGTTGCGACACCCACTGAATATGACGTCAGATTTACAAAGCCTACGTCGCTTTTAAAACCGATGTAAACAGTTAATGTCGCTTATAACCGACACACATTTTAATAATTTTAAATACTAGCGTCGCTTTAAATAAAACAGTGTCGCTTTTAAGCAATATAAAGTATGGGTGTCGCATATAGAAGCTACACTAATTGTTGTTTTTATATATTTTAAATCCTGTGTCGGTTCTTAGCGACACATATATTTTATTTTTTTTAATATTTTGAAACCCGGTGTCGGTTGTAAGCAACAGATTGATAGTCTTTATATACCCTCCCCCGTGTTTTCTTCTTCTTCTCTTGCATTTATCTCATTCTCATGATTTACGAAGCCTTCTAGTTCTCTCTTTCACCATTGCAATTTCTTCTTCCCGAGTTCTTGCAAGTTCATTCTTCACAAAGGTAAGTTTTTCTTGCTTGTAATATTTTTATTCTCTCTTTCACCAGTTTTTCTTGCTTGCAAGTTCATTCTTCACAAAGGTATGTTTTATGTTTAATTTTTAGATACAATTTATTTTTGTAGGGAATTTATTTGAGCTGGTTGAGTACATAAAGAATTGATCGACGACGGAATTCTTCTATAATTCAGGTTTCTATCACTAAATTCTTTAATTTTTAAATTGTATAATACACAAGTTTATTTATTTAAAAATTGTAATTTAAGTAGTTAGATAAATTTCTACTATTTTTGTTAAATTAATTAATATTTAGGCGAATTAATTAATTTTGTCACTTGAATTGTTATGAGAAAATGGAATGAATATTATTTATAAGCATTTATGTTAAATTAACAACATTAAATATAACATAAACTTATAATATTGAGTAATTTAAGAATATATTATGTTAAATTAAATTTTTTTGCACTCTAATTGTTATTTTAATTTGTTGTTATTTTGATAATTTTTTGTTGTTATTTACTAGAATGGATTAGATGAGAATAATTTCAATTGTTATGAGAAAATGGAATGAATAATATTTATAAACATTTATAAACGAAATTAACAATATTAAATATAACATAAACTTATAATATTGAGTAATATATGAATATATTATGTTAAATTAAATTTTTTTGCACTGTAATTATTATTTTAATTTGTTGTTATTTTGATGATTTTTTGTTGTTATTTACTAGAATGGATTAGATGAGA